TCTGCTTTTGCCTCTGGCTCTGGGGTCCCCTGCTCTTCCAGGTGCTCTGGTGCTTCAACTCTTGGGTGCCAGGGCTATGCTGTGTATCTCTTAATTGTCTCGTTCTCCATAATTAAACATGCCCGGCTCAAGATAGCATAAGGCGATGGGTTATGCGTTTAAAGTCAGTGTTAGATTTTTTGGCTTTCACTGTTAGTGTGGAAAACTAATATATTCTAATGGATCAGCCGCCAGGTTGCCTTCCGTAGCGTGACCTCAATTAGAAATTAGTTCAAGGATAACGAAATTACTGGGATTCAAACCAGTAATCTTGTCCAAAGCTAGCATTTAGTCTCTGGAAAGAAAAAACTCCCATTACGTTCTGTGTCTGTGTTCATGCCTTGTACTTGAGGTATCCCAGGCTCTGCTCTCAAACCATTAAAAATCTGGAGGAAACCCTCCAGATAGACACGGCTAAAAATAGCAATTCTGTGATCTGCAGCTCCGTATGTCTGGGAGTGGCTTCGTTCCCTGGTCTGGTTTTAGCTAATGTATGGATGATACACAGACGCTCCCAGTACCGGTCTCGGAGTTACCTGTGGGTACTGCAGCATCTCAGAACAGCCGCCTCTCAAAACCACGGGAACCCTTGTATTATCTTTTTCTGGGTGATAATCTGTCAGGTATTAATCCAGTCACCCCACAGCAATAGAAGGGAATTATGTTCCCTTTTCAGCCTTTTGGATGGTTTGAGGAATACATAGTAAACCTCATAAATGAGTAGCTATCAGAAACAAAAAAACCCTTTTATAATTTAGAGGGTGAAAGGAAGGGAGGGGGCCTAGGAGCTGCCTCTGCATCCCCCTGCCATGCTCCTCGGTTCCTTCTGCCCCCTTGCTTCACGGTTTAGCCATTGGGGCCGGAAAAGGCTGGTTTCACCTTCTGTGTTTTTAATAACGCCTGGTCCTGAGCAAGTTCGACACGACAGGGACAACGCGGGGATGCAGCGAGAGCGACTGGCCGGGAGCGGGGCCGAGCTGACGGCGGGTGCTCCCGGGGCCCAGGGCTGTGCTTGGGCGTGATTCCCCTGCACGTCGGCTGGGACTAAAGTCACCGATGCTCATCGTCCCTGAGGGTGATTTATTTCCTTTCATCCTGCCAGCAGGGAGTACAAATGCAAAACTTTCAGCTCAGAGGTATTTTTCGGAATAAAGTACCTTTAGCTGTGGTCATTGGTGATCTGGAAGCCCCGGCCAGTGAGATTTAGCCTTGAGCTGGTTGCCATTGCGGAGCAGCCGAGGAGCAGCTGAAAGCTGCTGGAAATGGCTTTTGACTTCTGCTTTTTTTAAAAAAAAAAAAAAGAACGGCACAAAAGAAAGCACGCTTTGGGAGAAGGGAGCCTTCCCCTTGCGCGGGGGCTGACTTGGGGCAGTAAGGAGCGGCAGAGGGCGGTTGCTGAGGTGAGAGAAGGGTTCCCGCGTCCCGGAGCGCCGGCGGCACCCGACATGCCCGGAGCCCGGCCTGTCCCCCCCTCGCAGCCTGGGCGCGCGATCTCTGCGTTTCTACCCTCCCCGCCTGCCAGAACGGGGGAGCGGGAGCAGCCCGGCTTGTTTCAGCTGCTGCTAATGTGGAATGTATAAACATGGAGCGGGCTGGTGGAACAAACAATAGCTGATTTACTTGGTTAATTTAAATCGTGTGTAGCGGGTAGCGCAGGGAGGCTGCGTCGCTGCTCCAGCAATCACGCTGGGAGGGAGGTCTGCAGTGCCATTACGTGTTATTATTACTTTCTGGATAATGTATACACTTTCACTATCACATAGTTTTTCTCCTTCATTTTTCATGAGATTAATGGTTAAGCCATGGAAGAAATGTAACGCCATGCCAGTCTGATTTATTGACCACTTAGTGCTGATGAAGCTGCAAACAAGAGTCGGACAGATGTTGCAGCTGCATTTTTCTTTATCAAAGCTAACAGCTTTTTGTGGGTTTTTTTAACCACTTCCCACGCCGCCTCCTGCTTACCCTGCAGCGCCGGCGATGGGGGAGCCAGCCCCCGCCGCCCGAGGAGAGGCGGCTGATGCCGGGTCGGGGGCGGCGGCGCAGCTCCGCAGAGGCTCTGGGCGCTGAAGTCGCGGGCGGATTCCTGACAGACGCTTCCAGAGCCGCCTGCAGCCTGGTCCGGGGCTCCCCGGAGGAGTTCCCGGCTGCCCAGGGGAAGGGCTTGTGCCGGGGCACGTCCATTGTCCTGGCACGTTTCCTGCATGGAAATTCCATCTGTAATTTTTCCTTTAGCCTTTCACATCTCTCTTGTTCTGTGGGTGGGTCTCCACAAAGAAATAGCAATTCTCTGCTGATTTAGAGTTTTCCAAAACATACGTATTCTCATAATTTGTGTCAGAACATTTCAGTTTGCCGGGTAGATTGGCATTTATGAGACTTGCCAAGGTGAGGTCAACTTTTAGATGGAGACATAAGGAGCAAGCCTGTTGGCATTGTGTTTATTTTATATGCTTTTCTATATAAACAGCATGAACTCCAGAGCCAATCCACTGCTGAAGTCCACTTGCTCCTGCTGCAATGAAGCCGGGAAGCCCCGTCACCCTGACTTGCCTGGTGACAAACGGGCACCATCAGGCTGTGAAAAAGACGGTTTATCTGAAACTAAGGCAGAAGCATCTGCGGAACTGCCGAGTCGCGCAAGGCCGCGGCGGCAGCATGTCCTTGCTCTCTTTGAAACTGCTCTGAGAGCAAGAGGTGTCTTTACACGAAATCTCTGAAGCATATTACTTTTTATTACTTCATCTTCTAAGTCACTAATTACGTTAAATTAGCTGATGGAGACTATTTGAGTGTAAAGGTAATCATTTTTATTATCTGAGTCTTTTCTGAATTCTGCATGAGGACCATAATGTTTCAGACTTCCCGTCATCACCTCCCCAGTTCTGAGCAGCAACGTCTTCTTGCGTTGGATGCGGCTCGGCTGCCCCTACTGTCACCTTTGTCACCTTCAAAGGGTGAAAAAGGAAGGCTGAAAGGAAAATGTGGCTCCATTTTGCGTGGTGAGCTGAGGACTCGCACTGCGGTGTGAAGGATACGGTGCTTTAACGTGTCCTCCTCTGGCTGTGTCTCGTCTGGGGCAGATGTGCCCCGTGGAGTGGAAGGTTTTCAGTGTGTAAAGGTAGAACATAAAGGATCCAATTGTTTGTCTCCAGGAGAATCCTGGGAATAGAAGAGCCGATGGTTTTCTTTGCTTTAGCACTTTACAGAGCTGCTCTGAAATAAGTTGTTAGCACTTCCTTAGCAGGCTCCTTGCCTCTTCCCCGTACAGTACAACTCTCTAATACAGACTGCAAGAATTTAATGCTGCAACCTCACAGAATCCTCACTGAAAATCCCACGCTTGCAGTTTTCATCAACAGAGGGGGAAGGAGGAACACAAGTTCCTGCCTGCGTGTCTTCCTGACGTTAGCGAGCTTCTCCTCCAGCCGGAGGGACGCGCCTGGTGTCCGGAGCCCGGCTGCATCCCCGCTGAGGGACTGCAGGGGAGGGGGGACAGGCGCACAGGGGGGCTGCTGCAGGCGCCGTGGGAAGGGGCTCCGCCAGCTGCCGGCACCCCCTTGGCAAGGCGCTGGGACTGTCTC